ATGGTTAAACTTGCCAGACCCAAAGCTTTATACAGGGCATAGCTTTAGACGCACATCTGCCACAATATTGTCAAATGCAGAAGCAGACATATCAACTCTCCAAAAACATGGTGGGTGGAGAAGTGCGAAAGTAGCCGAGAGTTATGTAGAGCAATCGATAAACAATAAAAGAAAAATTTCTAATACGATTTTAAATTCAATCGAACAAAATTGCGAAAATGATGTTCCAGTAAAAGTAGCTAAAATCGTTCCGAATTCTTCACAATGTAACATAAACAATGAAAACAAAAACAATGCAGTTACTGTTAATATTAACATAAATAGTGCTAATTAATTAGTTTCATTTATAACCGTTAAATGTATATTTACTACAACTATTATTTTCTCGTCATTACTTATTACATAATATCACAACAAAAATACATAATCGCTAATGTTTATTTCTCACATACTTCTGTAAACTTGGAAGGTTTATAAAAATATATTTGAATTGGAATTACATGTTATTGACTTGTATGCTAATTTTTTAACCCACCCCTTATACATTTACATTATTTTTAATTTCTATAATTATATTCTAAATATTTTTATACACGGGCGGGCGTGAAGTTCGTGCGTGAAGTTCAATTTTCAGTGCGTGAAGTGAACATTATTTCATTCGGTGCGTGAAGAAAACGGTCGTGCGTGAAGTGACTGTACTTCAGGCATATCTCAAGAATCCTCGCGCTACGGCATTTTTGTTTACCGTGTTCGTTCGAGTCGCGCCGTTTTTCGCGGGCATTGCATCATCTCTATGTCATTGCTATGTCAGAAATTTGTGAACGGGGCCATTTTACCAAGATTGTAAGTATCCTTCAACGTGTAATAACTAATATTGGCTGTTTTCCAGCTACGACACAAGTAGACACTGTGTAACACAGTGAATCATTGCATCCCTGTTGTTTGCCTGCGTTAAACGAGAAACGATTCTCTGTGTTACACAGTGTCTGATTCTGTCCTTGCTGGAAAGCACCCATTGTATAAGTGTCCTTCAACGTGTAATAATTAATATTTTAATTTCTTAGTCGGGGAGGGGCTGCGCCCCCCCCCCCCGAACCCCCCCTGCTACCTGCGCCCCACGCACCACCCTCGCTTCGCTCGTGCGAATTTATAATTGTATAACACAGTGCACTCGTAAGGAAAAAACTTTACGCATCTTATAAAAAAAAATGATGTTCGATATGCGGGCGTAACCTTGACACCCTCATGTGATCGCAAGCACTCTCGGGCCGGCTTCGCCGACCCTCGAGCGCAGCGATCCCATTCGATGCGTAAAGTTTAACTTTACGCCCTTATATCGAAAACTACTATTTTCGCACTGTCAACAGCGTTCGACTCTTTATTGCCTGTTTTTTTTTATGATTGTTAATTTGTTTTAAAGAATAAAGACTACGAATTAAAGTAGATTGTTAATTGCTAATAATTAAATTTTAATATTTAAACTTATCTTTTCTAAGTTAGTTTATTAATAAATTTAGATGCCTAGGCATTCCGAGGAATTAAAATCTTATTATTGTTTTGACAGAGACCAAGCGGGTGGTGCTATCCGGAGCCTCGCTCATCGGCAAACCAAGTTCTACAGTTTCAGCATAATTCTGGGTATGGGTATCGTTTCGAAATAGAAAAAAAAATAAGAGCACGCAAACTCCAATTTTAATTTTATTCACACCTAACACCCTCCTGTACTGTTTTCCTGTACTGTTCGCTGCTGATCAAAAGCTGAAACAGCTAGGTCATCTTACGCTTCCGATCTTGCTTTTGGTCTTGACTTCTGGTTGATTCAGTAATCCACAAACTTTTTAATAAATCTGCGAAAAATCGGCGATTTTACGCTAAATGACATTTAGTGGTAAAGTAATTCTATTTTACAGAGAGTCGGGGATTACATTCTACAGAGACTCTGACGATTGCTTGCAACCCTTAATTGTGTATCTGATTGTGTGCCGACAACAGAGAGAGAGAGAGAGAGAGAGAGAGAGAGAGAGAGAGAG